TGTCCTGTTAAATGGGCCACTGTTGGACAATAAAGCTAATATCTATCTATCTATCTATCATATAGTGAAATGGTACGTGGAAGAGACCGAGGCCTTTTCATATGTGAAAATAAAGTTGTAAATTCAGTTTTTACGGGTAAATATCTTTAATAACACATATCTCAGGCACTATTGGACCGATTTAGATGAAATTCGCAAAAATGTTGTCTAGGGGTGAAGTAGAACTAGACGGATGAATAAGAAATCATGGACTGCATTCTCTTTTTTGCTTTTTTATTTTAATCAAAATAACACTTTTTAACCTAAATATTGAAATATTTGACCATGTAGTAAAAAATTTAATAAATGGTGCTAATCATTCAGCAAAATAGATTGGTGTTGGTTTTTAAGTTAACATTTTTTATTAACTTAAATATCTTATTTTTAGTAGTTTAGGTGACTTAAAATTTCAAGGGCTGTCAACTTGCTTTCATCAAAATTCTACAAATTAATGTTTAGAATTGAACTGAGGATGCTTTGGAAACTCAAAATTGCAGTGCCGAATTCATTTCATTTTCATTCGCAAATGCACTGAATTTGACCCTCCAGGCCGTTCCAAAATTATGATGAAAACGTAGAAAGACCTAATATATATGACGGGATTCTTACCACAACCCTACGACTTAGTTACATAATACCCACAAGGTAGATCACACAATTAAATTCCAAGTCCGAATCTGCATACTACGTTTTTTTGTGGATTTTTAAATTAATTTCAAGTTGGGCTGGAAGGTCAAATTTAGTCGATTTTCATATTAAACGCGGAATTCATGTTGTACAATATCAGTTGATAGAATTGCTCAATGCATAACTTACAAGGCGTTGCATTTGATAAGATACAAGGGCATGAAAGAAAACTGAATCCAAAACTGGAACTTTGATTTTCCAAAGCATATTTAGTTCAATGTTAAGAATTATTTTGTAAAATACTAATGAAATCAAGTTGATAACCCTTAAAATTTTGATGTTTGTGTCACGTAAAGTGCTAAAAATAAGATTTTTGAATAAATAAAAAAACTAGATAGAAAGCCAAAAGAGGCGCAATCAACCTATTTTGCTAATTAACTAGCACCATTCATTTGCCTTTTTGTACCAAGTCAAACAATTCAATATTCAGCTTAAAAGTGATATAAAGCTTGAAAATGAACAAAATCGCTTCCGGACCTCCTTTTTAAACCGTCCGTCTAGATTTACGTTACTCCTAGGTAACTTAATTATCGTGGAACATTTCAACAAAATCGGTACAATTGTACATGACATTGAAGTTTTTGGTTTAGATGAAGCACCATGTGTATCCATAAAAATTGAATTGAAAAAGTCTCGGCCCACACTACCTACCATTTCACTATGTCCACCTAAGTAAGGAACACCCTGTATGTACTTCGATATTCTGATGAAGATGCAGAATCAATCTTGACCAGAAATACACACTAGTTGGAAAATGTTGATCATGCATGATATGTATGATTGCAAAAGACATGCAATTTTGATGAAAACGATTTTGAAAAACTTTGATATGAAGATCTCTAGTGATTTCACTATATGGATTCCATGTATTTACAGATGGTCATCTGCCTTTCGTACATCTAGTATATATATATGACGTGCATTTGTGGGGAAATCATTATCTAGAAGGCACTAGCTTCCGCTATAGAAAGTCTGATTTTACCATATGATTATGCACAGTTTAACCGATAGCTGGTATATATTTATAAAATGTTATCTATATTCCAGAAGGTTATGAGGTACATACATTTGTTGGGGCTATAAAAAATTTGTTTAACAAATACGCCAACTGAAATTGAACGTAGGTACGGTTTCTTGCTTTGATAAACAGAGTTAATTGACAAAAATGAGGAGACTTATGCTGTTTGCAATATGTCTAATAGGTGCGTAGAATAACTTGGGCTGGAAGCGTACAAATATACTCCCAATTTGTAATCAATAAAAAAGCTTTTCTGAAAAAGATCAAGATCCTCTTAAATATCAGCGAAGTTTGAGCAATTTTTATTTGTTGTGTTTTGCCTGCAGCTCTATCGCTATTGGATCGATTTCAAAAACTGTAAAGCTCTTTTGTCCGTAGCATAGTCGTTGTTTCAGAATTTCATAAAAATACGACCAGTACTTTCCAAGTTATAGAGACGCCGAGAGTTGAAGGACTGACAGACCGACAGAAAGGCTGACAGACAGATCGGCAGACAGACAGACTGAGGGAAATCGATGACATAGTTTTTTGTAATGGTACACATCCGATTTTCGCTTTTAACATACCAAACTTCCTAGCCCGTTGGCATGCTAAGACAGCGAGTAAAAACGGGGTTTGGAAGGGAGTGTCGCTAAAATGAAAACTATAAACACAGTGATCTCCAGAAGATATTGTTTTTTTTTTCAACAACTCCTCTTTTGGCTACTTTCTTCATCCTTATAATTAGAATCTCAACAAATATATCAAAACAAAGTTTTTACATGTTTTGATATTTTAATTGCTTAGATCACTGCCAATGTACCAGTGCAACACTATGCTTTAATAACGTCATTGTAATTCCAGTATCACCAGCCACATTCTTATCTATGTCTATGTCAAAGCTGTCAATTAAATTTGCAGCTTAGATAAATATAAAAATTGTCAACGTAGTTCATAACTTAATTTTTTCTTATTTTTTGTTTGTTGGGTTTTGTTTTGTTCTCTAGTTACGATAGCTTTTATTTAGTCTCGCATCATATTACATAAAAAAGTAAAACAACCTTACACAGTGTAAGCAAAGCTTTACTTGGAATGCATTTGATCACAAGAGAGCGATCAAGAAATTATTGGTTCAGGATGCAGTTCTAAAAATGAAAGCAGCCATTCCATCTTAGACCTTGAACGAAATAAGGTACCTTAGGTTGCCCTGTCATGAAGGCATATTTGACCCAAGGAAACGAGAGATGCAGTATGATGACATTACAAATGCTTAAGGAAACACCTGAACTAAATAACCTACCTTACTATCTCGCTCAAGCCTATAAGGAAATGGGAGAGTACTAAATGAATCACAACCAAGCATGCTAATACTCTCTTGAAAGAAGCTTTCACTTTGTTCAAAGAGCAAAACTATCCTAGAGATCTAGGCATGGTGAGGAATCTACAGACTATTTCGGCAGGGATGCAAATCTTTCCACAGTACACGAAACTACTTCTTGCTGCAGAAGAAGATAATGCCCGACATAACGTGAAAAGACTGATTGAATGGAAACAGTGTAGACTACCATTCGTGGATCTGGATGCGCCAGACCTTTCTCGAAGAGAGAGGTGCTCCAGCATAACTCATGCGGGGAGCGCGACCACTATGAACACTTTGGCTGGTTTTTATTCCTTTGACGCAGCTGAAAAATCACAGGTACCATCACCATTTGCGAAAAAGGATCGTTTGTAGACCGTACACAAAGATCAGGAGGAAAACCATCCAGAAGTAACAAAGCAAAGCGGAAACGTTGGAAAACGTTTACGTAAGAAAGTCTCAGTAACCATAAAATTTGGATAGTATGTAGGTTCTATTTGGAATTAGGATTCGACTAAATGATCTATCAAAAAAAGGTTGTTGTTTTGACGAGTACACAATGGTCTATTTTATGTTTATCTTATAGGACATCGCCTTGACTTTTCATCGAGGATAACAATGTTGAAGATGTCTGTTCATTGTAGTGATAGTAACTTCTTATCCTCAATATACAGGGTGATCCAGAATTATTGAGCATTCTCTCATGTATTTGTATTGAACCTGAAAATTTACAGGACACGGCTTTTTCGATGGAATGTTGTCTTCGATTCGTTTTTGCTCAACGCTGTATACATTAATCCATTAATGTATTCCAATTTACGATATACTGGCCATATAATACGCTGGCATTACAAAATTTATTTATCAATATTGGAATTGTTGCTTACATAATATATCTACTTATAATGTATACATAATGTAAAAATTCTCTATAAAGCGTAAAATGAATATATTGGTTAATAGGTATATTACGTCATTAAACAATATTAAAACAAAAATGTTTGTTTCCGGAATACTGCAAAATGGTTTAATAACGGGGATAGTAATTATCGCTTTACAGTGTAGTTCAAAAAGTAAATACCGGAAAATACGTTTTTTTTTCGTAGAGAGGATCCTTTGAAATGTGGTCAGTGTAAATACATTTTTATGATTGAATATAATAGTTATTGTACTGATATAATCAACTTTTTTTAGAAGCTTTTATTCAACTTTACCTACTAGTATGTCTGTGTATTAGTATGTTAGTGTGGATCAAATTGTAAACCTGAATTTTTAACTGGCTGACCCTAATCGAATGCTGGCATTTTGAATCCAATATGACGGATGCTACAAAATGGCGATGTATCACGTCCCTAGTAAACCCAAGATATGTATATTGAATCGAAAGGCTTGATGAAAGAAATAGAATAAACGTGGCCTCAGTCTAATTCCAATATGGCAGTAGCTGCAAAATAGCAAATTATAATTTTCATAGCCAAATTCTATAATAAAACATGACAAGTTCGAACTAGTTTGATTCTATTTGACAAGCACTCTGATCCTGATCTCATGATTTAGTTAGTCGACTGTTATGCAAAATTAATAATCATCATAATAGTCACGGCAAATTTCATCTTCCTAACATTAGATTGTTTGATAAAATATAAGTACGATTTATTTCTCCGATCATAATTAAATACTTATTATAGATAATACGTACGTCTCTGGTATTTACGTAATATATGATTCCTATCGTACGAGTTCTAATAATAAAAATAAATTAAGGGATTTTATGAAGTCCTATTTGACATCATAAATACTAAAAAGTATGAAATAAATAAGTAAAAAACATTTTTAAAATCAAGTTTTTACACCATAGCATCGTTTATGTTTACCGTTATCAGTAGTAATTTTTTTGCTATTTCCTTCTGAGTTTCCTTCTCAGCAGATAGCAATCATTTCCTAAAAAAATTAAATATATTGTACAAAATGGGTTACTTCCGACGTGACAAATCGTTAAATACATTACGCGCATCTGAACTATTCTCACGTTATGTCATTCAGTGATAAAATAACAACCTTCAATTTTGTGTAAACCTAAAGTTGTATATCTCTTTACGTTGTCAAGCTGATAAACCAAATGATGTTGCTCGATTGTTCTCTGGGCATGACATTTTTGAGATTCAAGTAAAATGGTCTCCGAGAGTTTTAATATTTAACGAAAATTCTGGTTTTGAGACATCTGAACAAAAGCTGGTGAAGGTAGATACTAATGGCAAAAGCTTAATGGCCTCACAAAACAATAACAAACAATTCTCTGTAGCCATGTGAACCTCTGAATAAAATATTCATCCAAAAAAATCATGGAAGAGAGAAACATTTAAAGAGAAATTAATAATTATAGGAAATCTGATGAGCAACACAGTGCAGCGCACTGAAAACTACACATTTCAATTTAACCAGAAGATGAGCCACATTGTAAGGAAATATGACAATGTGAGATCAAATTTTCTGAGGTTTCCAAATTTTTAGGTTCCTGGCAAAAAATATATTATATCCATAGCCTCAACCCTACTGTTGAGGGCCGAGATCTGAATGCTTAACTCCTACCACTATCTAAAAAATGCCGGCATCAAATAAGTTGAGTCTGTCCTTCCCACGCAATGCTGTCATCAGTTCGCATTCTGTTCGGCAGAAGTTAGCACTTCTGAGAATAAAATTAGCTACTACTTGTATAACAATCCCACGTGGATGACAATATTGAGTTTTACAGCATACAGCCCACATCAGTACGGAAGCGACTACCGACTGCGACTATCAGCTGGACCACGACGCACGTATCGACATGCGAATATTGGAGATATTTCAAAGTTTTAATGGTAAATGTACCAGGACATAGGATGAGTGAAATTTGCGAAAACTTACTGGCTTGACGGCGTATAAATATACCAACGTAAAAAATCAAGATAAACCCTCTCGCACTCCCTAACCCCCAACTTTTAACGCTTACAAATGTTTTTCCGAAAATGATCAAGAGCCTGTGAAACCTGCTCTGAAACATAAGAAAACGAAGTTTGAGCGATTTTAATTCCGTTCGTCTTTGTCCTTTCCTAAGACTTTGAAACTCGCTCAGAACCAAAAGACTTCTCTAACTTGGACGGGTCCCTGGTGATAATGCATCATTATTTTATGTATCTAGGCCCATAGGCCACAACCTTCAGTATATTGCGGCCTAGCTTGTTCCTGAGCGACCGCATGCTTGTGGGAACTTTACTGTTGCCTGAGCCCAGTAAGCCTCCTGTGGGCCCCGTAAAAAATTAACACTGAATCTGAGGGTTTAAAAATCGTCCCATAGTAATTTGAAACATTGTTTTTTTGACCATTAGTAATAGCCTCCATACACCCCCGGTCTTCTAGGTCCATAACCTAGCGTTTCGGAGTCCAACCGGCCCCCATAGGACTCAGTTCACGGCCGTCTCGTTACAATATTATCACTGAATCGTACTGAGACTTTGAATACCCTTTTTTAGCTTTATACACCCCCGGCACCTAAACTTCAAAATATCTCTACCTGTGTATGGGAGCGTTCTTTTTCAATCCTGACGAGAGCCGAGAAGTCAAGCAGGCTCCTGCGGGACTCCACAACCACCTCGTGAAACATTGACGCTGAATTGTACTGAGTCATCAGTGTAAAAAAACGCATCGAATCGTCTGTCAATAGCCCTCCGGCTTCTAGGCTCATAACCTTACCTGTGTATATTGCGCCCTAGCCTGTTCCTGAGCGACCGCATCCCTCTGGGATCCCTCCTGGTGTCTGAGCATGGCCCTTTCGACCCTGGCGAGCGTCGGGGAGTCTAGAAGGCCGCCCGCAGGCCTACCGCTGCCGCCACCGTCATTCGCGACCTTCAACAACATCGCGCGTGGTTACCAGACCGACCGAATGAAAGCGCGGGTCTCACTGAATCAGCGCCGCGCACAGCGGCGACAGCGTGTCAAGTCTGTCGCCTCCGGGGGCGGGAGAGACTCTCTCCTACCATCGCGCTCCGGAACGCTGCCACCCTGCCACCAGACCTGAAGGAGACGTTCGATGCGCGGAGGATGCGCTGTCCACCGATACAGGAACGGGTTAATGCATTTTTTGTTTTTTTGATTCGCATTTTGCATGCATAGCCAGAAAAAGTGCCACGCAACTAGACCGTCTGAGAAAAAAGTCAGTTGAACAGGCCCATACAATGAATAATAATAATAACAATCGTCTTTATTACCAGTATCTACTAAAGGATAGATTTAGCTTAAAGCTACTCTTACACTCACCCTTATGTGGATGTAAGATTTTAAAATGAAAGCTCTTAAATACTTGTTAGCCTGTTATGATATCGTACAAATGTTGTTGTAGCGCTACTCCAGTGATTATTCAAGATCTGTAGCTGGTAGTGTGCATATAGTTCATTCCGCGCCAGCTACATGTGAGCATGAAGTGAACGACAGGTATGCCCTATTCGTAGTCCAGTTACGCCCCGTCACAACAAAGATGTAGCGCAGCAAAGCTATTGGTCATACGGCCATAAAACTACGAACAAGTGCAGGATTCGACAGGATAGAAGTCAGGCTCGGGGTATCGCCGGGACGTCGACGCTGTTCATATTCAGTGCATACATAGCGTGCGTTTATACGTTAGCATGTCATTTACGAATACAGAAGATGAAACTGAGAATATTTCTTCCAATGCTTCCTTCAGCCATGCTTCCTCTTCAATGATGTCTCCTCCTCGAAAACGTGACAAGATGGGACATTTGAATATTGGTTTATAAGATCCAAATTTTAGAGCATCCTGAAATGAAAATTCATGATATTGAAAGTCGTGTGGCGAACAAAACAGGCTTATGTCCTGAAACAGTTTTCAACATTGTTAAATATAAAAAAAACAGTTGTCTCCACAACACAAGAAGCTGCATTACACGAAGCTGTTGAATACAGTTGATAACCTTGATCGGAATGCCATCAGACGCAAAGTCCATCGATTTTTTGAAATGCAGGAACTTTCCGCCATAGACAAAGTATTACAGGAGGTTAATAATGATGAAGACTACTTTCAAAAGGACCACATTCTATAGTATACTCAAAGAATTTCATTTTGAGTATAGAAAACGGGACAGAAATAGTATTTTGATGGAGAAGAAATTACTTATTTAAAATCAATAAAAAAACACCGCGATCAATTCAGGAAGATTTATTACTTGGATGAAACCTGGATAAGTGCATGACATACAAAACCTAAAGTATGGGCTGACTCTACAATTGAGTCAGCAAGATGGACTAACCACTGGCCTAAAGAATCCGTCAGGTACGTGTATGTAACCAATTCGTCATTTGAGTTGTAAAAATAGTGTCAAGTTGACTGAATCTATGAGCCCACGCTGAAAACTTAGCTACACTAATCTTAGCTGTATCTGGTAGATTTGGACCAACACCTCTTAGATACTCTGTTTGTATTATTATTAGTTTTCTTGAATACCTACTACATGAAATAACTATTTCTAGGAAAAGGAAAACGATTTGTTATTTGTCACATTGGCAGTGAAGATGGCTTTGTGCCCACTGCCCTATGGGCATTTGAGTCAAAGAAAATGACCGACTACCATGAAAAAATGGGCGGTAGTTCATTTGAACGATGATGTGAAGAAACGCTCCGAAAGCTCGACAACAATGCCGTGATTGTACTTGATAAAGCTTCATACCACACTAGAAAACTAGAAGAAATTCCCACAATGTCCACAAGAAAGGCAGAAATTCAATAATGGCTCCCATCAAAAGACATTAGTTTCAATGGAAATATGGTCAAAGCAGAACTTATCCATCTAGTCAGGCAGCACAAATACAGGGTGCGGCAGAGAGGATGGACGGTTTTAAAAAAATCATAAAATAGTTAATTTTTACTCGAAAACAAATTTATTGATGGAATCAGGTTCACAAGGAAATAGTATTTGAGACAGTCAAGTGTGGAAAATCACATCAGGCATGTGGTAGCCGAAATCGTTGATGCAGTGCTGGAGGCGTTCTTGGAAGTTGGCGTAGACTCTCTCCAACATCGCTCTCTCAACTTGGACGACTTCCACGCGAATTTCGCCCTTCAATTCGTCCAGAGTTCGGGGCTTTTTCGCGTAAACTCTAGCCTTGAGGTGTCCCCATAAGAAAAAATCGCATATAGATAAATCTGGGGACCGAGGAGGCCAATGAACATCGCCAAACCTGGAAATAAGGCGACCAGGGAAGAGAGGGCGAATAACGTCCATGGTTGCTCGGGCTGTGTGAGCGGTCGCCCCATCCTGCTGGAACCACACACGTCGGATTGGAACACGTCGCCGTCGTAATTCAGGGAGAAAGAAGTTGGTGATCATGTCGACGTAGCACTCTGAGTTCACGGTAACATCACGACCATTACCGTCTTCGAAGAAGTAAGAGCCAATGATGCAAGTTTGCGATACAGCGCACCAAACCGTTACTGTTGCGGATTTTCATTAGCCCAATAACAACAATTCTGCTGGTTAACCATACTGTTTAGGTGAAAGTGGACTTGGTCACTCATAAACAAAATGAGGTTCTCATTTTGATCGATCAGTGCTTCCATCTCACGTGCGAAGTTCATTCGTTGTGCATAATCTCCGGGCTGTAACTGTTGCACAATGGCCAACTTGTAGGGGTGAAAGCGGAGATCGTGTCAGACTGCGAAGAAAGACCTGTCGAACGCGTTCAACATTCTCAGGAGTTCGAACTGTTCACGGCGCTCCTCTTGGTCTTCTGTTGATCAGTTTACCACGCCTGCGAAGTGATTCAACCCAACGAAGGATGGTGTTTCGTGAGGGAACAGCTCTATTCCGATGAATGTTGAAGTGGCGACGAAACTCACGCTGTACGACGATGACTGACGTAAACGCGGTGCTCCACCGTCCAATGCTCCATAACGACAACTGGTAAAATAATGCTAGGATCTCACGAGTCAAACGGCACCCTCCCCACCTCTCTCGTAGACGGAGGCGGAGAGTACTACCCATCCCAAAAACGTCCGTCCTCTCTGCCGCACCCTGTATAAATATACTCTATAATGTTATTGACGAAATGGATAAAAACCAAAATAAGATCGTTTTGAGACTAACCTGTTATCACTGCGAATTAAATCCCATTGAAATGGTTTAGGCAAATATAAAAAACTATGCGGCTTCACAACAATAGTACATTCAAATTTTGTGACGTGAAAAATTTGTTTTATGAAGCTGTCAACAGAGAGATGACAAACCATTGGAAAGATTGCATCCGTCACGTTCAAAAGACAATCGAAACAAAGATATGGGATCTGGGCAATATGATCGATATTCAAATTGAACCTGTAATAATTAATATTAACCATTCGAACAATAATTTAAGTACTTTCAGCGAATAAAGAATTGTAAAAAGTATATACACTTCTTTCTATAAAGATAATCATTTATTTTGTTATATTATTCCAAAACTATTGAGGAAAATACGTATCTGTACAATCTCACTTTGGGCATATTGTGTTTTGTCTGGGCGCAAATGGACTACGAATGGGGTGTAGTTAATAGGTGACATCTTGTAGGAAAACCTACAAAATATCATAATAAAAATACAAAAAATTCCTGATTATTGAGAGGGCCCAGATTATTGGTCTGAGTTGTTGAGAAGGCTGATTTGTTAAAAGAACCTATTTCTTGAAAGGTTTTAGCTTACTTAGTGGTGCCGAGTGCTTGTTAAAAGAGCCTGGGCTGTTGAAAGTGTACCGGTTATTGACAGAGCCATGTCCGTTGAAAATTTTCTGGTTGTTGCAAGAATATGGCTAGTGATGAGAACCGGCCGACAAGATTTATACCCAGAAGCAATAGGATTCATTACCGAAAGTTTTTGATGCGCTACGTCCGAGTTTGTTGTACAAATCTCTCGACTGGCTCTAGCTCCCGAGATATCCTAACCTACAACCCGATGTGCAAAAATAGCCATTTTTGCCTATAATTGAGCATGATGAATTTTTTCTTTAAAAAACCATAATCATCATATTAAAACAGAAGACTTGCCCTTTCAAATGCCGTTGAGAACGTGGATGTTGAAAGGGCCTGAATTACTGGACTATTATTATATTGTAGGAGAGACAAAATAACTGTATGAAAATCTTTTGTCTGAGAGATGCTGTGAAAGCTTTCCCTAACAGGAAAAATTGATGTTTGCTTTAAACTTTCTGTCAAAGTGTTTTTCGCTTAGTTAGTGCTGCACCTGTGCTTGCGTATAAGCCGACCTCCAATCGAAAAACAATAACAAACTAATGGTGAGCTTGGAAAAGATTATATTGAATATCCATTGAAGATTGAAAAATATTTTATAGATTTCATTCTTTGTTAATATCTGTGAGGAATGGAAATTGGGTGTGGGATTTATCACTGTGTCAACAACATTTTATTAATGTATATACAAATTCAACCAAAAAAATTTACATAATTACAATCTCGATTCAGTAGAATGACTAATATTACAATCTTATAATATCATCATCAAGCATATGTCACCCGACTATAGAAGATGATTCACTATTTACTCACGGTGCTTTTGGAAGTCTGAAGGTGAAGCGTAAATGAAATAATTAATTCTAGTGGTACTTATACAATATACGAAGTCTAATATTTTAATATTTTTTAAGCATATCTAGCAATAACATTAATAACACTATTTATTGGACTAATAAAATACGCTGTCAGTCCGAATCAAAAAACAATGCGTAACGTTGTTTCCATCTTAGAAAAACTTGGAACAAATGAAAACCATGCATTTTAGTAGTTCGGGTATATTTTAAAGGTGCTGAAAAAGGGCTCGTGTAGCTTAGACAAACTTGTTTCTAATATTTACTAACATGAGAAAAACGAAGAATATAAACTAACTAGTTTTGGTACCTACTGTACATATACTAAGAGCATTATGTATTTAACTTGGAGGTAACTGTTGCCTCCAGAATTCTTGCCTTTCATTCAAATACTCAACAGTCTCTTTGATACAAGTTTCTATATCGGAGTTATTTTCTTTGAACTTGCACTTGATATCAGGATTGTTTAATAGGTTGCTCAGGTACTCCTTATCTGCCTCAAGTCCTTTGATCAGCCTGTTTTTTGATGACTTACGAGTTGAAGCAGTTGCCGCGCTACGGTGACTTGACTTTGAGCAAGAGCCTACAAGATTGAAACAACAATGTATCATTACAGAAATTGCAAATAATATATGTATGTCACTACATTAAGTAGCATCAGCACTAACGGCTAAGAAGACGAATAGGTATATATTGATATATTCTACAAGATTCAAGAGCTTTTTCGTGACCGAAGGAAGGGGAACTTTAGTTATCTAGTGCATTTAGTCTTATTTAATAGGTTTTTATATATGTTAAAAATGTAATTATTTACCATCAACATTTTGACTAAGAAGAATAATATATGTATCTCGCTGAATCATTAAATGATAAGGGTCTATAATCGGAGTTTACAGCCCTGGAAGTATGAAGGCCAATACACTCAATTTTTGCCAAATCAACAATACTCTTTCACTGATATTTATTCTGCTTTACGGCATGTCAGGATACACGTATTTTCATAGCCGGCGAACAATAAATATGCCAGAGCGAACAAAAGATGACTTAAATACTATACAGGGTGGCCCATTCAAGTGTGGACGGAACATTACTCATAAGCAAATACATTTTGTGAAAATCTATTCATGGCATGTTATACATAATATTTAAGGGCACATTTCTGAAATATTGGCATTTATACAGGGTGTCTCAATTTTGACCTACATATCATAGTTGCGATTTTTCAAATAGAATGCCTCAAAGTTTATTGCATATTTAGGTAAACCAATTCAGAAGAAGAAGGTTGATATAACATACTATGGGGTTTTGGTAATTAGATACTGAGATGTAAGGTGTTTTGTCCAGAAAAACCGCCCACTTCGGCAACCGCTCAATCCGCCATTTTAAAATTTGGAGTGCTGAATATTATATAAAAAAAACTTACGCACCTCAGCTTTTATCTCATTTATTACTTTTTCGAATTATCATTTTTGCTCATACAGGGTGGTCAAAAACGCGAATTGTACTTTTTCTCAAAAATTTCAAATGTATCACCCTGTATATTTGTGCAAGTTTGGATTGATTTTTTTATAAGCTTTTTTCTTGGTACAAGGTTTCATTCAGATAAAATCGCCAGATTTGGTGTTATTAAGCTTTTAATAGAACAACACACCAAAATTAAGGGAAAAAATCACATCATCCATGGAACTAACAACAATCAGAACAATATAAATCAGCTTCAAGCGTAATAGAAAAAAACAACTATAACAACATAAACAAACAACTAACGCTACTCAAGACCTAATCTACAAAAACTGCTCGAAAATATCTCCACCTTGTTGAATATGCAGCCGTAGTCTCTGAATAAATGACCGTTACACATCCCTCAGCATATGTTCTTTATGTTCAGAAAAGCATCCTGAATCCTTTCCTTCATATTTTCCGGGGTACATGGTGGATATCTATAAACCTCTTGCTTACCGTAGCCCCATAGAAAGAAGTCCAGCGGTGTCATATCTGGTGATCTAGGAGGCCAAGATAAAGGCCCTTCACGACCGATCTAACGATTGTTACTCCAGGTGTCCAAATAGTTACGCATAGGATTATGATAATGCGCAGGTGCGCCGTCATGTTGGAAGTAAATATGTATTCGAGTTTGCAGGTTGACATGCCCCAAAAGCAAAGGCAAATGCTCGATCAAAAAATTCAAGCATTTGGTACCTGTTATTCTGTTGTCGAACAAGAAAGCCCCGATAATTTGTCTGCCAATAATTCCTCCCCAAACATTCAAGCTCCATTTATTTTGAAAATCTATTTGCCTAACCCAGTAAGGGCTTTTCGTCGCCTAACAGTGCATGTTATGCCTGTTGACAACACCCATGCTGTTAAAAGTTGCCTCATTGCTAAAAAGAACCTTATCCAGGAAAGTACTTTATTTAGCATTATTCTACTAAACTCCATACGAGCTGCGAAATACTGAGGACGAAGGCCTTGATAGCATAGGTGATATGGATGGTAGCTATGTTTGTGAATAATTCGTTGGACAGAAGTTCTGCATATTAGTTTCTGCTCGAATTTGCCGTGCACTTAAATGGAGATTTTCCTGCAACTTTAATAAAACCTCTAAGTGATTCGCCTCATTGGTGACACTTGGATTATTTATACATTTTTTACTATATTCCACTGATCCACTTAATTCAAAACGTTCTCGTAGTGTGGAAAATGTTTCCGGCCTTCTATGTCCCATATTAGCGTACCGTTGCATATAAATGCGGATGCTAGGAGACTATTTCTTTGGGCTTCGCAAAAAACGAACACCATATTCACCATTTCTTCTCTAGAAATATTCATTTTCAAACACGTTTTTTTTTATAATGCTCACACAGCTAATCTTGACAGTTTGTAACTAATCAACAATTTGTTTGTTTCCAAGGATGATGCGATATTTTAGGGAATTTAGCCGTTCCATGAAAGACCGATAAAAATAACCGAAAAAATAACCGTAAAAACCCATATGTGTCCAGTATCAAAAAAATGCTTATAGAAAATTAAATTCAAACTTGCACAAATATATAGGGTGATGAAATTGACATTTTTGAGAAAAACTACAATTTGCGTTTTGGACCACCCTGTACGAGCAAAAATTACAATTCGAAAAAGTAACAAATAAGATAAAAGCTGAGGTGTGTCAGTTTTTTTGATACAACATTTAGCATTCCATATTTCAAAATGGCGGACTGAGGGGTTGCCAAATTGGGGTTTTGGTAATTAGCTACTGAGATATAAGGTGCTTTGTCGAGAAAAAAAACCATAGTATGTTGTATAGATTTTCTTCCCTTGAATTGGTTTATCCAAACATGCAATAAAATTTGAGACATTATATTTGAAAAATCACAACTTTGATATGTAGGTCGAAATTGGGACACAATGTATAATGGCCAATATTTTAGAAATGTGCCCTCAAATGTCATGTATAACATCAGATAAATAGATTTTCCCAAAATGTATTTGTTTATGAGTAATATTCCGTCCACACATGGATGGGCCACCCTGTATATAATATATACGGGTATATATGTCCATTTGTTCAGAATTGTATAGGAAGTACTGATTCTACCTACTTGATGCCATTATGTTATTTTGTCATTGATTGTGTGAAGTGTTGTGACCATGCGCTTATATGCCCAAGTTAAATAAGCTAAAACGGGCCGTTAGGACAAAAAGGCCAAAATTGCGAATTTTGGGCTTTCAACAGACAATCATGTACTAAAATAAATAAAAAATCATTGATGGAAGTTTAAAATACATATCTTTTGAAATACCTGAATATCTACAAAAAGATTTGTAGATACGGCCAACTTGAAACCTAAGTGATTTTCAGGGCGAAAAACTCAAATATACCTAGTCCTCAATGGTTTTTATCCAGTCTTTCGCTTCTCATCGACGTTGTAGTTTTCCAATTATAGATATTAGTTGAATCGTTCTTTTGATTCTCCTCATGTACGAGCCCCTTCCCACTTCAGTTGGCCCAACTATTGAAATCTTAGTTTTTTTATTATCAAACACAAATAATAAAAATGTAGCAGGGTATTATAGGTCTAAAACACCAACTTTATCACTCCCTAATCAAATTTGCAACATAATGACTGTCTGAAGAGAAAAGTGAAATTTCCAGCATCCATTATGGTCTGGGGCAGTATGTCATCAAAAGGAGTAGGAAAACTTCATTTTATTGATGGAAATGTGGATACAAACAAATGTTTGGCAATTTTAGAAGAACCGCTTTTACCAGTGATGGAAGAATGTTTGACATCCGGCCAAGATTTTGTGTTTCAGCAAGATGGTGCAGCGAGCCATACCTCAAACAAGGCTATAAAATGGATGGAAGAAAATAATGTACCACTTTTGAAATGGGTTTCTAACAGTCCAGATCTGTCACCTATTGAAACTTTGTGGCACGAGATGAAAAAGGTTCTACAACAACATCCTGCTCGTACAATCACCGAACTGAGACAAAAGCTTCAAGAAATATGGAATTGTTTACACCAAATTTTTGCCAAAGCTTGGTTAACACTATGCCCCAAAGAATTTCAGCCGTAATAAGAAATAAAGGTGATGTTACCCAATAGTTATCTTTCAATTGTTGCTTTGTTAACTTCACGCATTTATTCGCACATTGTTTATTTGTTCAGATGTTCTATTAGCTATAGGTATAAGTGATTTCTAATATGTATTTTTGACGACTAGAGTGTATCTAAAATGTTTTTGAAAAAATAAATTGTTTTAGAAGTAAATAGTTTCATGTTTAATTTATAAAGGCATATTTTGGTTCAAATCTTGAAGTGGGCCAACTGAAGTGGGAAGGGGCTCGTATATTGTGTGAGATAAGAGTCATTTGGATCTCAAGCTTATGCAACCAGGCACAGAACATTGTGATACTTGTTATAGGACCAATTAGTCGAAAGTAAAAGCTTTCAAGTTGCAATTATACTCATTCGGTTATTATATCAGGCTTTACACTTCTTGATTACCCTAATATGTACAGATGCCTACCTTCAACTTTTTCTTCTTCCTTAGTCGTAATTGTAGTCGCTCTAGCTGTACTTTTACCAGAGGTACCCTTAGACCTCAACCCGGAACTGAAATTTCCCAAAGCATTCTCTATTGCATTCTGAGCCTTTTGTACCCCTAACTTAAACCCTTCATGATCCGGCCTGACGTGAAGCCCTCTATGGTAGTACATTAGGGCCAACTCAAAGTCGCCCAGGAAGTACAGTGCCTCGGCTTTTTGGTAGACAGCCTTGATGAAGGTCTTGTCAATCTGAAGCGCAGATTCAGCATCTTCCAAAGCTTTCTTTGGTTGACCCAGAAGGATGTAGCATTTGCTGCGGGCAACTAGGGCGTTCTTTTCGGTGGGATTCAACTCAACTGCCTGAAATATTGAAATAGTTAATATCAATGGCTTAAAGCTTAAATTCCATCTAGTTTGAAAATACACCGGAATAATCTCATCTCACTACAGCGTTATTTAATCAATTCTCAAGTTTGGTCCATAATCAGCATCATCAAACTTACAAAACACCCTGTATCCTGGTAATATTCAGTAAGGAATTTATCGACCAAACATGAATTGTTATTGTTCAGTACCTGAAAAAGGACCCTCCGTATTACTTTTTGAAATTATTTGCCCCATAACACGCAATCTAGACAAGCGAAGCATCTATTTTTACGTGACTCTATTTGTTCTGCAGTCGAAATATCTCTATTGTCGCAGCTTTATGCGCAAACTTTGCTCATATATAATAGAGTTGTTATCATCAGTTACATCGTAAAAGAAAATTAGTTTCCGACAAAGCCGTCCATGTAAAGGCTGGTACACACGCTTTTGCAAGCTTGACAAGCCTTTTTGCAAAATTCATGGGCATCCATTTGACACCTTATTTCCGCAGGTATTAAATGCACTTTATAGAACTCCACCTCGATTTCTTGATATTTAAAACCGGTGCTGAGACTCTTAAACTCTTGAAACTTGTCAAAAAATTCCAAGATCCCTCGCAGAACAAACAATGCTGTCCAGCCAGTATTCATACTTCTGTTGCCCCGTAGTCAGTAAGGGAGTATCATAACATTCTCAAATAAATGTTTATTATGTTTCGAATTATTCTGAAAATTTTGCGTTCCTAATCGTTTCAGTAACAAATACATTTTTTAAGGGCTTTATATTATATCAAACTGTTACCGTTTCAATACTTATTCAAAACTTTATCATATCATACAACGATATTTGGCTGCAGTGATCGGTTACCAAGTTCTGCAAAATATTTGTGAGGGCAGTTGATATAAGTTTCGAGGAAAAACATATCAGCAACTCTGAAACAATCCATGAAATGTCGTGGAAACAATGGAGAATTGGGACAACAGTCAAAACATGATAATTTATAAATGTGGGGGCCAATAATAGCTAGGGCATCAATAGTCATCATAAAATTATATAGATGTTCGCATGACATGATAGGCGAAATGCTCATTTAAGGTGAATGCCCCAGTTTATATTTTGGGTTAACAGCTATATGGATAATGATTGATTTGTTGGGAATTGAATGGAAACGTAAACAGTGGTTTCTGATTCTATAGTTATATTTGCCATTTTACGAGTTTTCTTGGAATCCTGGAATATTTTAGTGGTTTAGTACCACCGAAAAGACGAACCAATCCCAACCATTCATCTATGACGAATTCTGCAAACTCAAGCATGTTGACTAGTACCTTAACTATTTTTAAATTACAAAACCAGAGGTACAATATCTTAATATCACCGAGGACTACTAAGCTCATTCAAGCTAGGAAAATGACAATTACACAGCCTCCTGAAGGCAAGTACCTCCTAACCCGATGACAAACTTGAGAAGCACATTTTATCATTCAATCGAAGAAAGTAACATCATAAATAGCAACGAACGAAGATAATCAGATTTTCAGTTATATTGAGGGTCAAAATATGTGTTCCCTCCTTAATAAGTATACAAGGCAATAAGGACCAGACACAAATGCATTTCCAGTCAAAAGGATAGTTTGCAGCTGTCCTCTCACTTTCAGGTCAGATCTCTGTCAATGCGAGTAAGTCATTCTCACAACAAGGAGGGCTCACGTGAAGAAATCAATTGGCATCCGGCCCTAAGATTTATATCTCGAAGCTCCTGAATGTGTTAAGATAATTCACGAATAGCAGAATAAAAATGTTAAACCTTAGATATAAATGCTACAGCAATCTTGAGATCTCCTCTGCACATTTCATAATTCCCTAGAGCTAAGAATGTACTTGGCTCAGCCTCTTCCGGAATCTGCAAATTCTTTGATCTATCCAATTTTCTCTTCAGCCTTAGCGAGTGCTTAATGTCTTTAGAACCCAAGTTTACTGCTGCAGCTCTGTCTTTATCGCAATAGATTTCCTCGTGCTTGATTCCGTATTTTCTCTTTCTTTTCTTCAGTCTCTTTTTTGGTTCTTGAGCTAATTCTGCAGCTAGAGCACGTGAGGTCTCTGGTGGTATCGACTGCTTGGATTTTGGTTCTCCTTCTAACCAAAAGCAAAAAACTTAGTATTAAGAGGATGATGTAGATATTATATTACATTATTGGATGTTATTTTTATCCAATATATATATATATAGGTGAAAAATAGGTGAAAAATTAAAGCTTCCGCCTTTTGTTGGGTACTTCTACAAAATTTAAGCAAAGAGGACTCTTTATACTTTTTTAATTCTCTCTAGCTTTCAATAGACGTTGCCATCATCATCAGGAGAGTAGTATGTGAGGATGTTGCTAATTGTTGTTTACGTATAGGATGAGGGAAACATCCAGTAACATGGTGAGAGGTGAATAGATGGTACAATGGTCAAAATTATATAAAATATGACCATGAACGATGTTTTTACAATTATTTTATTCGGTTGTATAGAGTCAGTGTCAGTCGGTAACACGTGAGTGAATAGTGGTGTCTGTTGCGTGGCTCAAACGAAATCAAAAATGGCACATGTTTACGAAAATGCTGAACTTGTGGACATGATTCTTATTTACGCGGCATCACGGATTTATACGGATCGGTTTCCCAATCGAGTGCAACCCACCCCTCGTGCCTTTGTTAATGTAGTACAAAGGGCTCGTGAATCAGGTGACTTAAGACCTCCAAGACCGCACGATCAAATACAGGTTCGCACTGAAATACTTGTCGGGAGGATACTTTATAAAACAAGGTAACATTTTTTTTTAATTTTTTTTTTATTTTTACACACATATTTTGGTTTATCTTCCTTCTACAATCATTATCTGAAAATTAATGACTCAACTTTAGTCACCCTGTATATATATATATATTGTGACGCATGGGATCCTGGACCAGCAAATACTTTTTCTTTTTTTTTCTTTTTCAATTTATTTCAATATACTTACTAAAGTGACTAAAGAAATGTTTAATGAGGAAGTGGTAAAAACCTTATGTAGATAATACTCGAAGTGCTGACTAAACTTTGTGATTTAAAATACGGTACCAATCGTTTCTGAGAGGAATAAATTTCATTATTTCCATCTATTCATTTTGATTAAGTTTACTGAGCTATCTTTAGCAAGGGTATGAAATAATAAATGTCGTCTCGTATTGACCTTTATAACTTAAGCTAATTTTCTACCTCCGATTTTCTTTTCAGTTTTCTCTTTTGCACTTTCCCTCTTTTCCTTCTCTCCACCGTGACCTTTTTCTTCTTCTTCATCATCTTCAACGTTTATTCTTACAAAGCTTTGGAGCAATTCAGCTTCTCTGGTGATACTCAACCTTTTTTCCGCTATGCTCTTGGTCTCACTTGCTGATTTGGGACCTTTTAATGTAGTTGGAAGAGTTGAGGTCACTGAATGACCTTTTGGAGATACAGAGCGACCACTTGGATACACTGTGGGACCTTCTGGTGACACTGGTGGATCTTTAAAGGTCACCCTAGTAGTTTCACTCATTTTTTTCTTGGTCACGCGATTAGGTCACACAAACCCGCAATTAGGTAAGTAGGAAAATCACGCCTAATTTTGCGTAGGTAGCTGTGAAAACTGACACATACGGTATTGCTATGGCAACGAAAAGGCGTGATCAATTGTCGGCTAGGGTGCCAAGGTATACAGTCGGTTGGCAATAGTAATGTCGCTCCAAAGTTTTATGCTTGCTTATGAATCATCTAGGACCTAACTAGATTCGACTTATCTAAAGTCACTGCGAACAAATGAGAAATCTGGTTATGTAGCTCAATATGGCAAAATACTTCCTATGGGTTAAACCTTTTATCGAATTTACACATATTCTTCTGATAAACGTCAAGATATCTAAATATTCCAGCAAATATACATTCGCAAACTATAGACTGAGATACGCAGCAAAGTTGTCTAGAGCATTGTTCCTCAAAGCAGGAGATACCGTCCCCTTGTGGGCGTTGGGGACCTATGAGGGAGGGATGTAAAGAGCCTAAAGGAATGTGACGGGCGTTATATTGATTTGGGGAGCTACGCAAAGGATAATATAATAATAATAACTGATGCTGACGACCCCCTTGGTCTTCAAAATTGTCATAAGGGCATTGGTTCTCAGAAGCGCTTGTGTAGCAGACGACGCCACCACCCTAACTCACTCGTCAATTTTCAATCGCAAATATCCCCCTCTAAGAGACGAACAATTATGGGAGGCGCTAGAAAATAATTTATTTTTAAAGTGGGCAGTAAACGAAATAAGTTTTTGACTGTATTGTCTAGAAAGTAGTAGACTGACACGTCCTCTTCCCAGCACGTGGAGCAGATAGGAAACAGGAAATAAATGGTCTAGTCAATATTGTAGTTGCCCATGAGAATACCCACCAAAAGTGACTGTCTCGCTATACCCAGTTTCTCAGTTTCCTATCTGCATTCTTCCAAGCTAATCGTATCCTGACATTTGCTAAAACCCGATCTAGACTGAGGGTCACTATAAGAACCTCCAGTCTCAAGTCTCATAACTTGCTGAGACCAAAGCACATTTAAGACTTTTTGAACAGGGGAAAGCTTTTATCGCCGGTCTTAGGCAGACAATATCGATCTATTTCCCTGTGGACCTTTCCCGCTAGATGTGTGAGATTCAGGCGGTATACTCACTAAAAATCGTCAGTTATTGGCCGCACATTCGTCCACGGAAATACTTGCAGCAATCCTTAATAGTGGTGCTAGGTTTCCATTCCAAATGTATCAGGCATCTAATCTCCATCGTACATTTATACATACTCGTACCTCTGTACATGTACAACCGAGCGATTAGGAACCTACTATCGATTCCTTGGTCTATTTTTGTCCTCATGTACATTGCTCAGCGTCATTCAGCTCACTATCGGTGGAATATCAATCCATTTCCCTCGCTTACATGGGTGGCAAAATTGTCAGCAGTAAGCCTTTCGCCGAGCGTCAATTCTATTTGTCCCTTATGGTCTACTACATTCAAGTAGATGAATAGGAGTATCCTCCAGTGATTAATTGTGCAGTATAGTAATCTATCCGAACCGCTCCCTTGTTAATTCAAGTTTTAATACCTGTGATCAGTTTTCTAGCCCATGCACCATGGCCAGTTGCATCCCATATCTCCTGCGATACTTCCAAAAAGCATCTCCCTTTCGTCGGTAGCTTTGCCGCAATTTTTATAGAGCGCGCATGTCTCCTCAGCCAGCGAATCAATTGGCGGGATACCAGCCACTACCAGCAGTGTATCGGTCGAGACCGTCCTATTAGCGCAGACTACGCGTAACACTGCTTGTTGCGGTCTCTTCGAGCTGGCTACCCCTGCCAAAATCCTTCTCCTCATTACTGGGGCCTCCATAAGATGGCGCTAGCCGTATCAGAGATGCAACGATTCCATTTTCTTTATCTGTGGTACGCTTTATGTGCTCAGTCATTTTTAGATTTTTGTTGAGCCAGACACCCAGGTGCTCAATAGCATTTTGGCTTTGAATCTCGGTGCTTTTAATATTAACGACTAGTAAACTTCTATCTGCAGAAAGTATAACCACTTGATCACTTCCATCTTCACAAGAGCTAAAGTCAAGCCGTTCTTTTTCATCCATATGGTAATTATCATGACTCCATATTCCAAAAGCTTTTCTGGTGTACCTCTCCCTTTGCTAGTGACTCTGCATCGTCAGGTCTTCAGCCTATCCTATAACGCGAATTCTCGGAAGCATCTGGAAATGAAGGAGCCCATCGTAGAGCACATTTGAGACTATCAGTATTAGACTTGACTTAATCTAGCAGATTACGAGTGAAGGCTCTGCTGCATATTTTCACCTTCTCGGCATAATTCTGTTCCACTAGATCAGAGAAGACATTCATCCGGAACCCAATACTTGAGGGCAGTAAAATAGAACACTCCCTGGGAAATGATCTCAAATTCTGACAGCTGACGACATTTTGCGAATACATACATTTTCGCCAAAATAATGCGTACATTTTCCTTGGTTCGTCATATTAAAAGTTTCATCACAAAGTTAGTTTCATACTGATGGACGATGACAAAAGTTCTGCACTTTTTCTACAGAGAACGACTCGGAGAGCGATTATTCTACCAATGTTTAGGAATACAGTTCCTGACAAGTAAGAGAACCATGTCCACTTTCTTCCAGTGATTTTGCTTACTCGTTTTCAAGAAGTCCTGGAGGCAAGTTTCAAGCAACATTTTAGCTATAGCAATCTTACTCTTTATATCTAGTGTCCATATATCTCTCTTATATGTCTACTAACATCGATATATTATAGCCTTGAAATACTCATATAACAGGATGAACATTTATGGAATCTTGACGTTCTGAAGATAACCCTCCAGATTTGGCAGATCAAACTTCGGTCTCTACTCTAATACGTCGGCGAATTCACCAATTAGGTAATTAATATATTTGCCACCGTGTTAGTGAAACACAGATCGCGGAAGCAACAGCCTCATTATAAGCCCCTTACCCGTATTAACAATGGTAAAAAGCTGAATTATCCCTGCATTGCACTTTATGCTTATAGGATAATTCGGACTTAATCCAATTACACCTTACACCTACGTAGCTCAGGCTAATTGAAAATTTCTAGTAAAAAGCGTTTATTTTTTTGCGAAGCGTCGTGTGCCATTTATGCATTTTCAATCCTGGATTGTTGTGGCTTTCAATTAATTTCAGGCGCGTTTGCTTTGTTCATTTTTAATTAAATCCCGTTAGTGGTTTTACCAGCCAGTATTGTTTTCAACAATATCGATCCTTATGTAGGAGTGAATGAATGCTATTCAAATAGTGTACAATAAACACCCAGAAAATACACATTCAGAAGTCTCTTGACACTTAGATATAGATACGTAAAAGTTGAAAGAATAATATTTGGAAAATTTCATTTAGGTTCAATCATAGTAGAATTGATAGGTCTAATTCTATCTGTGATTGGGATATGCCCTACAAAATTGCGTTAGACCAGATATAAAAGCCAACTTAGAATACGAAACAACATATCCACCTGAGTTGGAATGCGGTCTCATACTCCTCACAGTACATGGAGCAGACAGGATGTTCCTATGTTCTTTCAGACCCACTATGAACATCATGGTCTGTCTTCAACCATATTTCTCCAGTTTTCTCGCTGAAGCACTATCGTCCTGACATCTGCTACTGGATTTTGTAAACCTACGTCAAAATTTGGGTAAGTTCAGATGTTGCGCGTCGCCTAAGTGTGCATCCATATTGCGAGCGTAGCGCAAATATTATGAAATGCGCCTCCGCGTCCATAGTGTAGTGACTGAGGCGGAAGCCTAGGGCGCTTTCTAAGCAAGCGACCTAACGCGCGGTGGAGGCGGAACCAAACCAGTTCGGTGTTGTCGCTCGTCGTATGCATGAGTATCATTGTATTGTAATGGCGGATACTGAATTGTTTATAAGTGCAATTTGGCAACACAGATTTTTTACTGAGGATGTAGTCAAACGAGCATTCGAGCGTACTCAAAAAATTTGGTAGGGTATAATCTCAGTTCTTCATACAACTGGAAAAATTCAACAGTTGTTTCTCTTTTTTATAATTTATTTCGTGCACATCATCTCGAATGTTCAACACCTCCCATCTCATGATCTGACTGCCTAGTAAAAATATCAAATCGTCGTCCATAGTTTGGAACTTCTGATAATACATCGAACCAGTACAAAAGCTTGTGTGTCACTGTGGAGACCGGACGCCACCGCTCGCCGCGCTTGCCTAGGCCCCAGTCACCGCGAATTCAGTATGGACGAACACTAAAGGCCTATTCATACTCAGCCGTGACGTGACAGTGCTGTGATCATCACGTGATCTGCCCGGCGAAACTAAAAACATTCTTCCTGGAATTTGGATGAACTGATTCACACTAGACCGGCACGTGGAAGTTTCCGTATTCTCACTGCCCTCGACGACGCCGTACCGTGATCATTGCATTGTTTTGGAACGATATTTTTCGATTTTCACTGCCGTGTTTTCATGTAATTTCGTCAATATTTTGATATAACTGGTAAAAAACATGAATGATGAAAAACTTATTGAATTTGTACGCGTACTTCCCGTGCTACAGAACCAGTCAAATTCAAAATTCAAGGACTTCCGTTTTTTTCTCGTTTCTTCTTCTTCATCTTCCGTAGGTGGTAGACGGTCTCTGACTGTCGAACGCGGAGTACCACCCGGCGGATCTTGTAGGCGGGGCCAGAATGTGTGCATGTTGCTTGTCCCTCGCCAGAGTCCGTATGGCGTCCCCCCTTTCCCCTGTGCTTCCCCCTATAGCACCTCATGGGTATTTAGGCCTTAGGCCTTCATGGTAGTTGGAGTATAAAAAAACAGAATCACTGACACGTCACAGCACTGTCACGTCACGGCTGAGTGTGAATAGACCTTAACGCTTGCTTTTGAAATAAACAGAATTAATACTTGCTGTTCACATGGAAACGCGTGTCAGAAAATTTCAGCGCGCACAACGCGCTTTTCCATGTGAACGTATTATGTTTTTCATACTTGAACGACAGCGAAGGCCTGAGGCCTACACACCCATGGATGCCGTAGCGAGGGAACATGTGTGCATGCAACATGCACAAATTCTGGGCCCGTCTTAGAGATCCGCCGGGTGGTACCTCCAAGTTCGATAGTCAGTCAGTCTACCACCTACGGAAAATTTCAAGAATTCTGTGTGTTTTAAAAGTCAACATTCACTTGCGTATCACGCGCGTCATCTGAACATACCTTATCTTTTGACGACACGTACACGCAACCCATACCTACCCAGCCTAGTCTCAGCTGGATAGTCTTTCACCACTTCTCCATGAGAAAAAAAAACGACCACTCTGTAGTTCATATTGAATATCGTCGGCAGTCTGACAATACCTGTTAACTGACATTTTTTTGATAATGAGTTTTTTATGTAGTTGACTTCATAAATTAACGGCACATCATATGAAATAATCTGCCAACTACAGATAATTCATTTGTTTAAGCTAATGCCGCGAAACAATAGCTGCGATCTTCCCCCTCTACTATTAGCTGACGCAATACCTGCTAACGTCCAGTTGCATTCGTAAATTTGTAGGTTAGTTTTTCTCCGAATAACCAGCCAAGACTCCAGAAGTTTTCAAATAAGGGTAAGAATAAGTTTTACTTTATATGCATAATTATATTTTTGAACACACAACTCATCAAAGCAATTAAAATCAACGTTTTGTAATAAAGCGCAGATAGCAGTCATTGCAATTATATTATTTCTGTATAAGGAGGAACTTAGCATGTTCTGTTTCTATTGATATTGTAAACTGTTATACACTGGAAAACACAAAAGTAGTGCTTTTTACCTGTTGATAAGCATAATTATATTATTTTTATGATGTTTATGTCATCTAGGTGAACAAATGCAACTCACAGGTATGGTGCTTGTGCGGAATAAACACAAAATTATATTTTTCTTTTAGGAAAAATGGCGTCCCGAGCACAAAAAATCTTAAATCTAGTGAGAGAACAAGAAAAAACTAAATCAGCTCTCGAAGAACTTGATAATACAGTACAAACTGATTCCCAAACAGTTGTACCAGCAGTACCAAGCACCTTACCAGAAAGAGATGATGAACAAATGTTTGTGGTTTAGAGGATAAAGACTTAGATCTTCGCCATCGTGATCAAGATCAGCCAACCGCTGGAAGTCATGGCAATTTTAGTAGCAGTAGTAATTAAAGCGATCTTGACAGTGATTCCGTTCCAGATAATGTCTATGCAGTAGAGGACGATAGCTTCGATGATAATGCTATTGAAAGTGATAAAGAAAATAGCGCAACTGTAAATCATCCTGAAGGACAGCCGACTGTCAATAATCATCAAATACTTAATAATGAGACTAATTGGGGTGACATGAATGAAGGACGAAAAATAAAAATTACAGCAGACAAAAATGAATGGAAAAGGAATAAAAGCAAATTACTAAGAATGAAAGGGGAGGATTACCTTGGATTTTCGCGTGACAAGGACAAAAACTTCAAACATAATACTCCTCGCCCAGCGAGGAAACTGGGAATGGCATGTGTTTCAAAAATGTATTTAAAATCAAAGAAGAGGTTTTGTAATACTTTCACCGAAGAAATACGAAAAGAAATGTTTTCCCGTTTTTGGAAAAAAATGACGTGGGATCAAAGAGAGCTTTTTGTTTCTGGACATGTTAGCCTCCAGCCTCCATCTAGGAAAACAACTGAAAATGGAAGCAGTAGACGAGAAAATACCATGACATACAAACTACATAATGGTACAGAATTGGTTCAAGTCTGTCGCAAAACATTTCTCAATACTACAGGGCTAGGACGATTCACAGTGGAAAGTTGGAAAAAAGAGAGTGTATACGATATGAACGAGTCTAAGGTAGAATTTAATAAGCAGCGAAAGAATATTAATAATAGGGTACGCGCTTTCGAGGACAGTAAAGCTTTCCTGAATTTATTTTTCGATGACCTTCCGAAACAGCCATCTCACTATGTGAGAAAGGATACCAACAAATTTTATTTAGAGCAACATTTCGTTACTCTGAAGCAATTGCATAGTTTTTATAGAGAGGTTTGTGATGAGAAAAACGAGCATTACTTGTGGTCTTCTGAACATCAAGCTTCAATAAGAGCGCTACTTTACCACACAACAAGTGAAAAAATGAATTCAGTGAGCATCTGTCCGTCAAATACAATCATCTAAACAAATTAATTGAAGTGACGGTTCGGGACTCTCAGAAGTTCAATGTTGAAAATATTATCGATTTTATTTTTCATTCCTATAAGGAAAAGTACCTCTAAATGAATTATGAAGTAGTCCCTTTTTCAAACAGATACTTTATCCTTGCAAATCTTTTTATTCAACAAAAATACAAATCGGGACTTGAGCGAAGCGAAACCTTGTTAGCTGACAGGCCTCTATCAACCTCACTGAATTATTTACCGCACACTTTTTGAAATTAGCATATCTCATTGAATTATGGAACTGTGCAACCTCTACTAAGAATAAGTTGGACAGGCTTGAATTCACTCGAGGTCTGCTTGAAGAAAGCAGGGAGGCTTCCGTTTTGTCTTCTATCGAAACAACCTTGGGACATGCACGGCAAGGGTACCTACCATATAAGGGTAGCAAATTTGCAACAGAAAATGCTAGTGAAGCTCTGTGAATAGCCTTCAGCAACCAAGGTATCAAAGGAGAGGAGAACAACGTGTCTTGCAACCCTCCAGAAGGGCTAAAGGTAGAATTTCTTCCTTAGCACCCTCGTAGACCCAGATCTGACGGTAGCTTTCTTACGATTATCAGATGCTCGCACAAATACAATGAGTAGGCTCCTGCGAGATATCTGGCACAAATAAATTAATATTACTCTTTTTCGGAGAGATCAATAAAAACTTATTTAGGCGAAGAAGCAAACGGGCATTACGTGGACAGCCTCGAGTTGCCATGTATTTCAAATTTTTGATAAATAAACTTTGTAATGTTAAGTATGCAAAGTAAATAAATTAAAGTTATATTGAATTCTGAATTTAACTCATTCATTTGTAGTGAGAAAACTCTAAATTTCTCAGCCGAACCTGTCACATACTTAATTGACTACCTAGCAGTACCTTTTATGACTGACTTACCCTATTATAAGAATGAAGAGCTTTCTCCCAGTTTCCAGACTTGATATGACTATTGGCCTCTTCATACCAGAGCTTGGACTCCTTCCGTTGGTTCAGTAACTTGATCACCGACTCAGATCTCTGTCGCTTCTGATCACCCATGGTGGACGTTGTTGGTGATTATGTGGAAACGGGTAATCTTCTGGGAAATGAAAATGTGACATCAATGAAAATATGGAACAGTCGGTGTCGTTAGATTTCCGCAATTTATATATATAAATTCGCGTGACTTTGCTATATTCATTATTTAGAATACATCGATTTGGTTTGTATTACAACTCACGACAAATAAATCAGGAATGTAAAAACTGTTCTTTTATTTTCGAGTAATGCTGCGGTCTCGCTATTCGCATGTCAGGCAAATAAGTTTGCTTTTATGAGATTTTGAAGCAACCGCAAGTGAGGCTAATATGACTGCTTCTGAATTTGATAAGCTTGTTGATTATACTAATTCAGTCCATCACCTGAACTGTGAATGAGAGTGCAGGGTCGTGACGATTCAGCTGCTACGGAGGCTTTTCAAAATCAAAAAATGTAACATACGAGGGCCGTCTGATAAGTCAGTGACTTTTTGAATTTCCCGCGCAGTAACTTTGAATGCAACACTGCTGCCATCAACTGCCATCTTTTATATGACAACTGTCAAAATTTGAAGAAGCTATGACATTTCATTTGAGTTTGACAGCCGTTGAAAGTAGAGAGTCTCATAAATTCTAACAAAAATGGAGAAATGTGAATTTCGTGTTTTAATTGAACATTACTTTTTGCGTAAAAAAACCACCACTGCAACAAAGTAAAGGCTTGACAAATACTGTGGGGACTCTGCACCATCTATTTCAATGATGTAGAAGTGGTTTACTGAGTTCCGTTGTGGTCGAACCAGCACAAGTGATGCCGAACGTTCAGGTCGTCCAAACCACACCAGAAATCGTAGATAAGATCCATGGGATGATATTGGAAGATCGCAGAATAAAAATACGTGAACTAGCTGAGGATGTAGGCATCTCTACTGAGCGGGTACATCACATTTTACATGAATACTTGGACATGAAAAAACTATCCGCGAGATAGGTGCCGCGATTGCTCCCAGTCGACCATAAGCGCAACCGTGTGACCATTTCAAGGGAATGTTTGGCGCAATCCGAACGAATTTTGGCGCCGTTTTGTAACTGTAGACAAAACATGGATTCATCACAATACACCAGAAACCAAAGAACAATCAAGACAGTGGGTTTCACCTGGTGAGCGTGCTCCAAAGAAGGCCAAGGTGGGTCTGTCAGCCAGCAAGGTTATGGCCATAGTTTTCTGGGACGCATGCGGTATCATTTACATGGATTACCTTGAGAAGGGCAGAACGATCACGAGAGAGTGCGATTCAGAGCTGTTAGACAGATTCAACGTTGCTTTGAAGCAAAAACGACCGTATTTGGCGAAAAAAAAATGCAGTTCCATCAAGACAATGGACGGGTACCCACGTGTGTAGTCTAGATGGCAAAAATTCAAGAACTGGGCTACAAACTGCTGCCCCATCCAGCCTATTCTCCAGATTTAGCCCCCAGCGATTACTTCCTATTTCCAAACCTGAAAAAATGGCTGGGTGGTAAGAAATTTGGGTCGAAAGAAGAGGTCATCATTGAAACAAACGCATATTTTGGGAGCCTTGATAAAAACTACTATTCGGAAGGAATTAATAAATTGGAAAAACGCTGGACTAAATGTATCGAGCTGAAAGGAGATTATGTAAATTTTGTAAACTGTAAAATATAAACTTAATTTCTTCGTACCACAAATGATTTTAATTTATATTTGAATTTTGGAAAAGATAAAACTTGGGTAAAGCACTTTGTCCAAAGCGAAGATTAAAATAGATGCGCGGCCGTACTGTTATTATATATATATAATAAATTTTCACTTCTATGTGATCACTTTCGAATTCAATCCAAAAATTTGATTGGACAATGTTTTATTGAATTATACCTATCTATTTTGGAGAATCTTCTAGCTCACGTTTAAAAACAATTATAACAACGTATTATCTAAAATGTACCCTGTAATTTTCATCCTGAGAAATCCCATAGTTTCTGATCCTTAAATAAATGCATACGTAGGATTAAATTTTTACTAACATTTCGGCCACCTAAGTGACCTCTTTCAAAGGACAAAAACACCACCACCAAGGTAGCCTAAACGTTGGTAAAAAGTTCATCCCATATATTGTGGTTTTATTTAACGGACACAATTCGAGGAGATTCGTCATTAAGAATATTTTTTACGCGGTTCAAAGATTTACAAAGTAGTAATTTTCATTGGTAGGTGTACAATATAGTATTACTTTTAGCATTTTCAGTTCAGATATCACCAGCAGTTTTTCATTATTATAATCAAATCTACAGATATTGTAACTAACAGGAAGCACACATCAGTTGTTTTAACTCCTTCTTTTGATTACACAGTTCCAAAAAAAGAGAGAAAGTGGTGTGTGCCTGGAGTCCAACTCTGTTTTCCCAAGAAATTGTTCATGTTGAACGCGAATCTGGAGTCAGATCTGGAGGTTGGTAGACAAATTTTAGACAAAACCCATAAAAACAGTCCACAGGGCGACAATAAGATGTGGTGTGTGCTGGGGGCCTCTCTATATTTTTCCAGGTACTTTTTCCCTCTGAACACGAATCTGAAGTCTAAATTGGGGGGAAGATGAAGTAATATTAAAGTAATCAAGACAATAGAATACAAAATTTGGGTCTTTTTGGTAGATGTCTGTCTATTAGAAACCCCCGACGTGCACCAAAAAAGGCCAAAATGTGTGATCTTGACGTCTGAACTACTCTTTATTTGTCCTCAGACCCTTAATTTTGACTTTGACAGATTCGTGTTTAGCATGAAAAAGTACATAGGAAAAATATAGTGGGACACCAGGTACACACCACTTTTTTATTTTGTGGACCTGTATTATTCATAAAGGATTTTTTTTGGAAAAAAACGGTGGCATTCACCAATTTTATTAAAAATAATAATATAAATGGTGAATGTGCATATACCATACGGCAAAATGATAAAAACCATTACTTGAAGTCATAGTAACAGACGCAGAGGCTATTTTTTGATATCTTGATTTATATTGACTTGACAGCAATTGTTTTTCAGCTTGATCTACAGTTTGAGCTCAAAATCTTAACATATAATCATCAGACAAGCTTTGAATTAGAGGAGAGAATAGTCCTGGACGCTAACCTGATTTTAAATTTATTTATATAAACTTTTCAGACAAAAAATCATGTTCCTTACAGTTCTTGGGATCCCCTAAGGGAAGTATCACGTCCACGGTACATGGTGAATTTTGCAGACCGATTAAATTCCCTAAAAAACCATGTTGCTCATTTTGGTCTCTGATTAAAGAAGTATTTATAGGTCTAATGCTCTATGGGCCCATCATCAACCTAACCTGCTAAATGGTTCAAACAGGTTAAGTCTAGATAATATAACCGTATCCTTAGAGCTAGAACTAGGCTAGGTTTTCTCAACTATTTTTCACCATGAACAATGTTATTGAGCGCGTGAATCTAAGTATAAAGAAGGTCGAGGAACTTTGGACCCATGAAGACTTTTAAACAGCGACAAAAAAATGGGTAAAATGTCAAAATGGTTTTCAAGCATTGCGTGAGTCATCCTTACCTAATAAAAATTTCAGTCCATTAATTCATTATCCTTACCTGAACAAACGTCTGCATACCCCAGTGCTCAACATGTCAAAAGTTATGTCGCAAGTGGTATTCCTGAAAGATATATTCTGCGGTTAAGCTCAAGGTTAACTCACTATTCCGTGTCTACCGTCGACCGCGACTGATTATAAGGTAAAACCGCGACTGACGGACTGAACGGCAATTCCCAAAGGGATGATTTCTCCCCTGGCGCCGATAAAGCCGATCGCACAGGTTGCCTAATGATGGGGAAGTTGCTTCCTAGTCTTTGTTTACGCTTTAATTTTGATAGATGAATGCAATTTGGATAAGCTAGTGGATACAGGGGCGGTTATTAATGCGGGGATAAGGGACTGCATTTCTCAAAAAAATCTTCCTAAGCGGGGATAGAGCCGATCGTACAAGAGGCTTACTCGTATTTTTTTCCACGCGCAACAAAATTCTTTTATGGATCTAAATTTATTCAGGATGTTGTTATTTAATGTGAATAAATTATTATTTGTTTTCGCTTAAATTTTGATAAAAATGAATAAATGCAACATGCAAGTACATATAGGCGGGTACAGGGCCGTCCTTAAGAGGAAAACATATATGGAAGTGCCTCACCTGACTTACTCGAAGCCTTTGTACCGGGTGAAACAATAACAAAGGACACCGACTATATCTTAGCAACGGTTCAACATAGAGTCATCCGTTAAGAAATTTCATCACAAAAGTGCCCAAGGGAAATTGCTGAAAATTATTTTCATCTTCCTAAAATAGACCCTAGGGCCGTAATTTAAAAACATGTAAACGCCATTATTTTGCAAAAACACGTAATTAACTTACTGATTCAGTAACTCTATTAATGTTGATCGCTAAATTTTTTCTCGATGTCATTCTTCCATATTTTGTTTCGTTTAGTGCTGGAAGGGTTCAATGTCATTTGAGAAAAAGTGATATAGCCTTTATTTGGCTACATCGATTTTCACGGTCTTGGTTTTATTCGAAGAAGCCCCTGCTCAAGGCTAATTCTTGTCAAATTAGTTTACTTTGGGGCTTTATGGTTGTGCCACTGTTTTCTTAATTTTAATTTCAAAAACAAATTGGTATACTTTTTTGATAATGCCCAGGTGCTCGAACTGTTGCCATCGTTATCGATGCATAGTTGCACCGTTCTGCATGTTGACTCAACAGCAGTTTTGATTTCGGCAGCAGGAATTTTATCGATGGCATTCTTTATGCTATATCTTGACGTCTAGTCGACTCGATAAACGATATCTTTTACTCTGCCCCAAAGATAAAAATCTAGGCAGATCAGGTCAGGGGATCTAAAAATGAAATAATAAAGATAAAACTACATAATAAAAATTGTCGCAGTCCCACAAATTACATGGCTGGCTAATAAAACAAACTTCCTCTTCCAATCCACCTACCTGGAAATGACGTATCCACGAACTGACGGACTTTTGCCACATAATGGGCTAGGCAGCCGTTGGAATATCATATACAGGGTATCTGCGAAAAGTTGGGAAATCTCGAATCTGGAGATACTACAGACCAAAATATGTGAATTGACCTAAACATACCTTAGTCTAAAAGTTGATAGTTTGCGAGGTACAGGGTGTCAAAGTTACAATTTTATTTTCTATTTTTCCTTACTGCTTGAGAAGTATTTCAGATTTTGGCATAAAACTAGGTATAGGAAGATTTTCTAGTATGAAAAACAAGAATTCGTTATTTTTTATGTCCAAACTTCTAGGGGGCGCCACTTACTATTTCGGTAAATAACTTATGATAACTTTTTTGTGCTACCCTGTATACAACAACTGACCGAAAAATCTTATTTTCTCGTATTTCCGCAACAAAAAAGGTTCACTTGTTAGAAGTTCTAAAGCTAATAGTTTTCGATATATTTGTTTTTAAAGGTTCGAATGGATAATTTGTACCATGACGATAAAACATTTTTATAACATAATAATCAAGTTACTTTGGATAATATCTGAGTAGCGTGGTTTCTAATGTTTGTCATAATATTGCATATTGCTTTAAGCTTCATGAATAATTTTGAGTTGACAATAAGCTGTTAAACATCATCACGTTTGATGAATATTCTGATACGCATTTAATGTATGGATTGGCAAGATGTAATGCTTTAAAAGCACGAAGATTGTACGCTGACAGATTCCCATATAGACACCTGCCTAATTCAAAGACTTTCCAACGAATCGATCAGCGGTTACAAGAAACTGGTAAGAAATGATTATAGCCTTATTTTTAGTACTAAACGCCATTTGGATCTAAGGTAGTTTTGCTCAAAATATGGGCCGACGTAGTGGAGCTCCCAGTAGTGTACGTACAGCTGAAGTTGAAGAAAATGTCTTTGAAAACCCTACAGTTGGGTTTAGAATGTTGCTCGAGAATTTCAAGTTTCCAAATGTACCATATTTATTTGAAAAACTTGCACTTTCTAAAGTTAACGCAAAGGTATATAAGATCTTTTTCTTGGCGATACTGATTTTGATTCTGCGTATTACATTTTTCTGAATTCTTGTGTAATGCACATTTTAAATATACAAATAGCCTTTGGTAAATTCCGCTCTTCATAAAGCCGGTATATTACTTTTATTATTGTATGAAGCCGCAAATACGTAGGTACATTCACTCCAATAAACCACGGAACAGGTATTTGTCGATTTGGCAACATTGGTAGTAGCTGTCAGAGTCAGAATCATCTAACCTAATCGCCATTTGCCATTTTGTTTTGGTTTATAGCTTTATAGTTCTTCTGCGCATGTCAGTTCCTTCAGTTCTCGTTTCAGTGCAGGTACCGATATCACCATAACAAAACCGTCCCAAAACGATCCCAAAACGGTAGTGATGCAAAGTTTCGTTACTTTTTAGGACTTGTAAGGACTCGTTACTTTCGAACTTTGGACTCGTTAGTTTAGTTACTATTTGGACATTTCGTTTAGAACCTACATTCTATATATTATATCAAATTATTACTTTGGGATTGATCCAATTATTATTTTTTGTCTAATGCCTTGCCTATTAATTTTTTTGATATTTGATACGTAGAAGGTACTTATATTTTAAACTCGTCGTTGTGTGACGTCTGGTTCGTTGGCTGTACGCTGTAAATAGTATTTAACAAGTGGCATAACCAGATGGGAACCGTGGAGGAACCACTCTCCTCACTCTTTACTTTAGTTGAGTAGCGTCCCCTGCCCTAACAGTCTGGTTACTCCCCTGCCCTACTTAACAGTCTGGTTACTCCACTGTAAATGGTGTTCAACAAAATACTTATAATAATAAGACATACCTGAAACTAAGTTCCTTTTGCACCTAGGCATATTTTCGTCTTCCACTCGCCGTTTTGCCCTTTCTCCTTAGAATGAAAGAGTCGGATGTTTAGTTTTCAAATGCTTCCTTAAATTGCTAATGTTTCCATTTTTATGCGAATAAATATTTTTACAAAGATTAGACTTTGCATTAGCTTCCGATATATTGGTGAAATGCATCCAAATAACACGTCTTTTTTGAGTTTGCGATTCTCCTGAACCGGACTCGGATGATTCCATATTTTTGTACAAATAATAATTATATTATTGCTCGAGCTTGTACGGCAACGTCCAAACCAGTACAACCCGCCAACCGCTAGCTCTCAAAGTCAAATGAAAAGTGTACAGGTGTACACAAACATTGCCAACCTAAAGCTCCGCAGTCCGCAACTCGTTTGATAGAAGAGTATCTAAAGTTGCCTAAGCCTAACGATATTCGCATCATTTCATTTCCACCCAGTTTACATCCAAGAACCAAGTCACTTGCTGCTGGCGCTGGCAGTACTGGCTACATTAGATCCCAGTAACGTTTGTATCTAAAGTAATGTATAGTGTAGTAACTAACAGTAATTAAAAGTTATAACGTACATAGAAAAAGACAGTATCGCATTCAAAGTAACGAATTCAAATAAAAAGTAACGAGTCTTTTCAAAAAGTAGGACTCGTTACATTTAGTTACTCATTTGTAACGATTATTTTGTAAGCGTTACTTAATTATTTTACATCACTACAAAACGGGCTGGAACACAATGCAGAACCGTTCTGTTACTGTGGCTGACAAGGTTGGAGCACTTTTTCCTAAGTGCGTAAGCGCGTCGCCGTTCCAACACGGTCCTACGACGGGTTGCAATAATACAAACCCGTCACCAAGAACAATCTCAAATTAATTTATGGACAGGAATAATTGGACAATATTTAATAGGACCCGATGAGTTACCACCTAGAGTAAATGGCCATTGACGAGCTGCCAATGGGACGTCTTCTAGCAACGTAGGCAATATTTTGCCTAAGAAGTTCAGATAGCTCTTACCATTTGAAAGCTTAACGAATATGTAAGGCCCTATGACTCTACCCGACAAAATAGCACATGACACATTTACCATCGGCCTTGATGCTCGACACTGCATCGAATGTGGGGCTTATTGCGACTCCAATAATGCATGCTATACAAATTCACATTGCCATTTGCTTTTGAATGTAGCTTCGTCAGTCCACAAAATATTTGATGCTATGGTGGTATTATCGGTAAATATTCCTAAAAACAAGTGAAGGTATTTGCGTCTGCTATCAAAGTCATTACTGGTTGATGCTAATAATACGCCTGAGGCCTGAAACCAAAATAAAGGACTTATTTCGAGTATTTTGAGAATTACGCCTTCTTTCATGCCTAAATCTCTACCGATATCTCTTGTGCTGGAATGGTAGCTAATTTCCACATAGCCTAACACTGCCATTACATTTTCCTATCAACGAGTCCCACTTTTTCTGGCTATAGTGGGCCGGTGGATACTTCCCGCACTACTTAGTCGTTGGGCAAGCCTGCTGAACAAAGCCTCTTTTTCATATATCAGACGACACTTACGACCCTTATAGCTTAAAAATAAATTCCAAAGTGAAATATCTTGAAATTGCATCATATTGATACATTTTACATAATTGTTCATAGCTTGAGTTTTTCTTTTTATGAAGTGGTGCTTGAAAGTTGTAATTTAAGCATATTTTTCATTATATCTCCATCACGAATTTAGATATTGATCTGCCATTTTCGCCATTGTATAGGATTTTTCATGCCCTTCCGACCAACATTAGAAAAGTACACCATTGTATTTGAAATTTTCGAAAATATTCAAAAAACACTGACACATACATAAAAGCGCAAGCTCTTTCGAATGAAACCAAGGTTGTGAAAAT